TTAATTAATTAATTAATTAGTGTAAAAATGAAATTACATATCTGAGTTACTTAGTATGTCATTGAGGATACACTTTTTAATGCAGTGACATATATGATTAGGATGAATAAAGTGACATTGTGTACATTGTTTTCATGAGACTCAAAAACATACCATAATATTGTTTTATTCAACATATATCAGTATGTACACATATATACCTTAAATATCCATGTATTTATTTGTAGCATGCCATAATCTCAGATACTGAACACATTTGCATACATATTCTTTTTTAATCCCATATATGCCATGACAGTTCAGTGTAAGAAAGCAGAATAGTGATTATCTAAATCTCCATACTGTGTAATAAAGGATTCCTGCAATCTGATTGGTCCATGCAAGCAGATTGACCTTTTGACACCATGGTTTGAGTATCACAAAATATGCAATTATTGGTGGTTATACACAATATATTATTAAGATTTACATTAATTGTAATAGTTTTGATGTTTCAGATGTTGATGAAAGTGTGTGTGTGATTTAGAATCACAAGTTTGTTTCCCCAATGTCCAGTGGTGATTTTTCACAGATTGTGAAACAGTAACAGTTGGAATAGACACCAACATTAGTAATTATGTTACCAATACAACCCTAAAACAAAAATTAATAGTGATGGTTTAAAAAATAACCATCTCCTAATCGCAATAGGGTGAACAGTCACTGGTGCTCGTGAATGACGATTATGCAAACCAGCAAGATGTAATACTGAATAGGAGCTGTGAAATTACTACATAGGTAAACAGAATATTGGCGATCCGCTCCGCTAGGATTGCCCTTATAATCACTTTTGTCGTTTTGTGTGTGTCTGTGTGTGTACATTTCCAGTGTTCACTATTATTTCTTCTGTGATTTTTTTGGCTTGGCCAATTTCGTTCAAACTTGGCAGGTAGGTCACACCTTAACCCTAGTTATAAGGAAAAATCTGAAAACTTTTTTTGGCCCACCGTTGCCATAGCAACAGCAAAAAAACTGATTTTTGGATAGCTTCACGCCAAATGTATCTCCTCCTACAAATTTGGGATAAAACACTTCAGACATAGCTCATTCTACTCAGCTTGAGTGTGGGCACAAAGTTACCATTTGAATTTTTGATATCTGTTTTCAT